TCAGTCATCATAACCAGGCTCAATTTGGTATTGCTGCCACGGGCAGAGGTTGTGGACAAAATCTGCTTTAGTTTTAAATGGAAATAATCCAACCTAATAATCCAAATCTTTTAACAAACCTCGGCAGTACTCACAAATCACAAGATGGAATTGGATGAAGAAGGCCTTGCTGCCCATTTGATTTCACTCTTCCGAAACATCATCCTCTTGTTCTCCCATTACAGCATCTAGTTATTTTTTAAATAAATCAAATTTCCTACACTCCATCACTCTTCCTGGTCATGTGTCTCAGCTGTTGAATCCCTGCTGTGTAAAGAAATTCTTTCTAGTCTGTCCTAAACTTGTCCTTAACAATCCTAAAGCTGTGCGCTCATACCCTGCTGCCTTATTTCAGTTTCAGCTTGTAACAAAATATTGTTTAAAAGTGACCTCACGGCAAATTTAATAATAATAAATAATAATAATCCTTGCATTTGATATAGTGCCTTTCAGATCAGGAGGATATCCCAAAACACTTCACAAGCTTTACTGTAAAGTGGAGTGACTGCATTTGTGGGTAAATGTAACAGCAGAAATGCATGCAGTGATGTCACATGAAACAAATGACCAATTCATTTGGGGGATTGTTGTCCAGGTGACCAGGAGAAACTCCCTTTTCTTTTTGAGTAGTTCCATGGGATTTTTAATGTTGACCTGAACAGGCAGACAGGGCCTTGGTTTAACTTTCATCCGAAGAACCGCATCTCCAACAACGCAACACACCCGATGTGGGGGGTCAAACTCACAACCGTCTGACTCAGAGGTGATAACGCTACCACCTGAGCCAGACTAACAAACCTGTAAGGATGACATGCCACACCCAATGACATGCTATTAAACAAGTTAAGAGTTCATATACAATGAGACCTTATCAAACGTGTCAGTGAAGTGATTGAAGTTGGTCAATACTGTATGTCAAATTGCTGTTAACTGTCTGCAGCAGAACAGAAAGCACTAGGGAGATCATACTGTGCATCTTAAACTAAATATAACAGTCCACAAGAGGCCTCAATAATGAAGGATACATGATAATGATACTTTCCTTATTCAGAGTTCAAATCAATTAAGTTCAATACAAGCAACAAAGAATGGAACTGGGTTGCAGAAAATCTGCCATGTTACTTAATGATAGATGTGAGAGTTAATTTAACAGAATTCGACTCTATCTAAGCAAAGTGGGAATAATATTAGTTACCAACTGGTCAATGCCAATACTGTACAGAATGGTAAAAATGTTCCTGAACTGTAATGTTCTGCAATTTGCAAGACTCAAAAAGGAATTGTAACCAGAAACTGCTGCAGGTACCCAGGTGTGTTTCATTCCGACCCTCTAGAACTCCGCTCGATCATAAATAGCCCAAGGTGTGGAAGGAGATCAGCATCCAAACAGAGTACCAAAGCCTCAGATACATTGGGTAACTGCAGGATTTGCTATTTACAAATCCTTTCTCGACTCCCCTAAATAAGACCCACTGTTAACATCACACATGAATAAAAATCAGAAGCAGCAAGCTTTTTACCAATTGGTCTTGACATCTCAAAATGACCGATTTGGAACGTAAAGTATGGAAAAGAGAAGGGTGATTCGGCCCATTAAGCCCACCTCAACCACAGACCCCACAAAACGTACTATATCATGGAATGCAACCCAACCATAATACTGACTCTTGGCGATGTCATCCGCAGACACAGGGTAAACTTCCACATTTATGCAGATGACACAAAAATCTACAGCCGCCCGCACTAAACTCCGTACCTCCATCACACCAGTTCTATCCAGGCTGCGCTGGCTCCCTATTGCCGAACAGATCACCTTCAAGATCCTCACACTTGTTTCAAATCCCTTCATGCCCTGGCACCTCCCTACCTCTCCAACCTGCTTACTCCCCAACCCATTACCTGATCTACTAGGTCCGGACTTCTGCATGTCCCTCGTGCCCTCTGTTCTACCATTGGCGGCCACGCTTTCAGCCGCTACACCCCAAAACTCTGGAACACTCTTCCTCTATCCCTCTGCTTTGCCCCTTCCTTCACCATCTTTAAGTCACCCCCGAAGACCTTCCTCTTTGATCGTGCCTACGGTCACCACCCCCTCCCCCTGGCTCGGCGTCATGCTCCGCCACTGTTAATCGCTCTGGGACGCTTCCCTGCGTGAGGGGCTCTACATAAATGTAAAACCCAAAAGACTATCTCGCAAAAACTCCAGAATCTCTCTTCAGTTCCATGCCTCGGCTAAGGAAACCCGGCCTTTTTGCTCCTCACAGAAACAACTCTTCACCTCCGTCTGCATCTCTTCCAAAAAGACGCAGTCAATCCAGACAGGGACAAGAGATTTTCTTGAGCGGCTGTTCCATTAGCGCTACATATACAGTACGTGTGAGTGTGTATTGAGGCAAAAATGCATGTTAAACACCATCTGTAAAGCTCAATAAAACATAAGATGGGTTCTGTTTTCTGCCAT